TTACACTACAAAATAGGTAAAAGTGTGTGACTTGTACTGTTTTGGTAACGGGTCAATATCGGTATCGGTCAATATCRGTATCGGACAATTCTYGAAGTTGCAATATCGGTATCGTATCRGAAGTGAAAAAGTTGTATMGGAACATCCCTACTAATTACCTGCTCTCCTCGAGTTGAATACTTCAATGTTAACTTCCAACTACAAACCAAGCAACCTAACTGTTCTCTTATGTGYAAAAAGTTTATAAAATGGTTTTGCGTAGGGGGCTGATGGGCCTGACTGGTGGTCTTTATTGTCTGTGAATCTCACCTCAGCTGGGGAGCCTTTCTCCACAGATTTGATGATGGGTACACGGTTTCTTTCTTCCAGAGTAAAGCCATAGCTTCCGTCACTTGGTCTTATCTGGAAAAAATAAAAATACAACCTTTGGCATCAGCAAAATTCTAAGACAGCTTTTCAAGACATTTTCACAGAGCACAAACACGTCCACACACCACAAGAAGATAGGAACAGACGGAGAGCAGATACTGTAGCATTTTTCTCCYTCCTCTGAAAARAATGCCTTTCTTGCTTACTTTGGTGTAAAATGGACTTTTGCAGTGTTATCATTTTTTTCATGCCACAGCTGTGGGTTTCAAAATGATTTACTGAGCGTTTTCTTTAGTTCAGTTGTGAGCAAATTACAGCATATATTAGCATACGAGAAGGACTAAAAGTTGTTCAAATAAAGACAACTCACCAGGAGAGACTTTGTGATGACATTTTCAACTATTTTCAAATCGTGCTTCAGCGGTTTGTGTTTAGTGTTGGATCCCTCCATCTCCTCATCAGCAAAGAAACGGAACAACAAAGGCTCATCCTTGAATTCGCTCTTTTCCAACACTGAGAAAAGAGACCAAGTTATGAATAGATGTCAACCCATAAATACTACATGATATTAGCAAACCTATAAAATAAAGCATGCTTTTAAATCCTTATTTTTCACATTTAAACAATTAAGTTGGGGTCTATATAAATATAACTGCAATGCTGATCTGAATTCCTCCTCCTTGTAACTCCAAAMGCCCYGCCCCTTTTCTGRGGTGTGTCTCAGATCAACACGTTTTGAGGCTGTCTCTTTAAATCCAAATGAGGCACTTCAGACCCCGCCCCCCTCCAGCTTCCAGACCAGTCCATTCTTGTTTAATAGAGGGGTTTAGGGCTATATAGCTGCACAGAAACRTTTTGTTTGTTGGACCCAGAGCCAGAGGACAATGAATGAACAAATTGTAGCTGGTAAGTCCAGACCTGATTTAGAAGTCCTGTTGCAAATACTGTGACAGGAAAGAGTAAATTCAAATTGTCTGCCCTCTTAGAGACTTTAGTACACAACAAAATACACTGCTCAAAAAAATAAAGGGAACACTTAAACAACGCACACTAACTCCCGATCTTAATCAATGAAATATTCGCATTGAGTACTTTGTTCTGTACAGAGTTGAATGTGCTTCACAAAAGTTTGATTTACTTGGACTTAGCGTGCATTGTTTAAGTGTTCCCTTTTATTTTTTTGAGCAGTGTATATTTAATGGCTAAAAAAGTAAGTTTTACACAATATGTCCCCTTTTTAAAAAAACCCTTACTGGTATTTGACAATATATTCAGTGATCTTAACTTTTTAGCTAATTTTGTTGTGACTCTTCTTTATTAAGAGGGATTAATGTATAAAGCTATGATGGCATTACAAAACAATATTCACTTAAGTCATAAGTGTGGGAAATAATTTAAGTCAATAAAAACCACAATCTTTAGTTCATTAAAATTATTTGTTGGACAACACATTTTGGACTGACTAATACTCATAACAGTGGGAAAGCCCAAAGAACTTAGTGAAAATCTAACATTGTAGATTTACAGAAGTTGGGAAAGACTTTTGGCATCATTTCTAAAMAATTTCAGATTCTGAAATCGTCAGTTAAATTTTACCATTTTGCCAAGGTGTGGAAGAAAATCCAAGCTGTCACCTTCASCTGAAAGGAAACTGGTTAGGACACAGGTCAAGCCTACAATGAAGTGAGAACTACTGGAATCCTACAGTCACCGTCCACAGTAACAACCTCAAAAATGTTGAAAGGAGGACCAACCAAGACAAAAAAAATTATAAAGTATGTTGTACAAATATTACACCCTGGAAAAAGAAAGGTTCAAATCAATCACTCAGTCATTTAAAATGCTCAAAAACTGCCCTGAGCGGGGGTAACAAGAAGATTCCCTTTGACATTTTTCCTCATAATTCCCCTCAAGATCAGATAAAGCGCCAGTAGCTCTAATAGCAACATCGTTGGCGCCAAACAACTCTCAGGCACGAATGGTGAAATTACCCTGCAGGCTGTGGMAGTTAAAGGAGGTTTGATGACTGAGGTTATGTTCTATAGATGTGCAGATAATTTGCAGCRTGCGGCTTGAACTCTGGGTACTTAGGACAAGTTACATCATGGGGGCACGAGGAGACAAGGCGTGACTCACGCTGTATGATGTGGACTTTGGCACGCAGGAAGCATGGAGTTAAAAACAAACAAACCTGACTCTCATAAACAAAACGTAACCATGGCTACTGCCCATTTTGCATTGGAATCTAGCAAAGCAAACCATGCACAAGCCCAAAATATGGTTACCTAAAATATATGCACCCATACATGCACAGAAGGCATGCATGAAAAGAGCCACACGACTGGAAAATGAAGTTGTATTTCTGTACTGTATCAAAGAAAGAGAACAAGACTGGCTGTGTTCTAAGACAGGATGCTAAATRTCAAGATCCTMTGTATCCTTTCTCTAAAGCACTGAACTCTAATTTAGTCTGTGATGGAGAAGTTTCCATGGTTTTAGGTGGATCAGAAGTTATTCTGGTCTGCTGAAATCAGCTACAGAACATGCAGTACCGTGATGCATGAAGCCATTGTCGCAAAGCTCTACCCCCAAGAWCACCGCTTCATCTCTCGTTCTGCAGTCCCCCTGCACAAAGAGAAAAAAAAACGAGGACACACAAGAAAAATAAGACAGATTTAAACAAAAAGGGTGAGTAGTGCAGCTGAGATTGCGGGGAGCTAAAGAGATGCAGAAAAGTAAATGTAGAAGACAGAACAAAAGAAGTTGTGTGCATCTCAAAAGCCCGGAGGCCAGAAGAGTCACTTGACGCTCCACCTTCCATACGTTCAAAGTTATGTCTAGGCAGTATAGTGTGACAGCTCCTGATGTCTCACTGCAGGAGGTGAGATCTATTCCACAAGCGCAGGTCAAACAAATTTATATGGACTACCGCAAACACCCAAGCGCACTCAACAGGCAGGCAAAAAAGCAAGCTCTGTCTGCTTTTAATTCTGCTGTGGTTACATTTTAACTTTCATTTTCTTTGTTGTCATCTTGTACAGGACTATCAATCTATCAGCCTCAACCCTTCCTGTCAGAGCCAATAAGGCTTAGCTCAACAATCAATTCTGCTTTTCTTCCTTCGTTTCCTCTTGGCTCCACCGAGAACCTCAAATTTAATGGCTTCTTTCTTTTTTTCCTGTGTGCTGCACATTAGAAGCGGGCGACCTGTTATGACAACAGAAATATCATTTCTTTTCCCAGCAAACCTGTTTCCAATCTTATCAGAAGCCAGAGAAAATTATTTTTAAACACGATGTTGTGGATTAGGAATCGGCAGCAAGGAGATCAATAACATAAAATTAAAACTCTACTAATAGGAATAATTTCTGTTGACTGTAATTGTGGCCCAGTTTACACTAATCCAAATATTTTCTGAAACTGATAGTTTTCTTATGTTTAAATTAAAATGGTAATCCAGATGACCAGTAGGAATTTGAACAAAATGAATGGTGGAAATATTAATGCCGCTCCAGTGTGGCAAGAACATTTATATTAACGAATATTAAATAACAGTCCTTCCTTTTCATATTTAAATCATTAGTTGAGGTCTATATAAAGTGGAACTACAACGCTTTGGTCTTTATTCTAACTTTATCAGCCCCTCTTTTGCAACTTTTCTGCGGTGGGTTTCAAAGCAGCTGGATTTGATACTCTTCCTTTAAGACGCTTCAAGCCCCGCCCCCCTCCGGCTTCCAGACCGGTCCACTCCAGTTTATTTATTTATTCATTCATTCATTCATTCATTTTAGGTAGGTTTTCCAGCTTGAAGAAACATTTTATTTACAATTTAATTAAAAGAAAAGACKTGACCATCCAGCCTTACATAATGGAGCCAGAGTCTGACCCAGAACCAGAGGRGAATTAGGATGACRAAATTGTAGTTAAGTCCAGACCTAATYTGGCWATTCTGTTGCTGATACTTTGAGATAACAGCTCAGAAAACATCATGGCAAAAATCAGAACACTGAAAAGGCTGAAAAATATGACCTAAACAGACTATAAAGATATCTTTGCAGAACCAGGTGACACAACAAAATGCATTTAACAGCTAAAAAAGTGGATTTCGCATTATATGTCCCCTTTAAARTACASAGAAAGTGCAGTTTTTGCTTCTCCCAAAACAATTGTGGGTAGAGTTTTTCTGTGACACCTTTACAATATCCTCTCAGTGAATTCAGCACATAAAGTTGGACAGTGAGAATCGAGAAAACGAAAGACAGAAGCAGGAAAAAAAGTGTTAGAATAAAAATACAACTTGTTGATGTTGAGGGGTTTAGGCATAAARTTTATAGTGAGCATTTCCAAAATATGTCACTGTTTCTCAAAATCTCAATACAGGTCTAATCAACTGGCAGCTGAATAGGCTTTCATCTGCACCAAACACACCCCTCCCCCAATATAAAAATAGATTTGTACCCTGTGTTCAGTGATACCCTGTACCATTACTGGCCAACTTGAYCTTGATGCTATTCGTYAAACTTTTCTGTAATAATTAATTTGGCCAATCTTTGTTGCAATTTATTTTTTGAGGCAGTCAAAGGTGACGGTGTTGTTAATAGAGTTTTGGGGCAGTTTAAGGTCTTACCTGTGCTATAAGCCAGTCTATAAGCTTGTTAGCCATGACCACTGATTTGTAGGTCCGCAAATGATAGTCCTTATCCCTGGAGAGGTACAAGAGCAGAAAACTTCAATGAAAGGAATGTATTTATAGAGAATCTTAAACTGTTTAATGTCATTGTAATATGAGACAGTCAACATGTAGAAGAGTAATTGCCTGGTCTATTTAAACACAATGCCTGAAGCAGGACTCATAATTTCTGCTGTCAACAACGCACAGCTACTTTTTTTGTTGCCGGCGGTCGTGTCATTTATCTAAGTCAGTTCCTGAGGTTTGGTGACAACAGAGCAACATTCCTCGGAGCACGGCCGGTATGGTGTCGCTGTTCTCAGTGTTACGGCGCCCCGCCGCACACACTTCGCCAGACCTGGAGAATGCTGTTTGAAAACGGAGCCGTGACTTTCCCATGAACGCAGGGGCCTCTCGGGGGACACGCAGTGGGGCCTGAGCTGCCGGGCCGGGAAAGTCCTGAACCGCCGTGACTTACACTTCTGCATAGCTTTCACCACATGCAAACACACACACACAGCTTTCCATCCCACACAGGTCAGACGAGTCAAACAAGGCTTGTGGGCCAAGTTAAAGTCCAATCTCAGCGGTCTGGTCCTCTTCAGAACACGAAACATGAAAAACGTTGCCCTGCTTCCCCCACAATGACACATTCTGTTATGTAAGGGCATTTGGCAGCTCGTGTTTGTCTCTGTTGAAGACGGCAAAGTTGATCAGACACGATGAACTGTCTCTACCCTGACCAGACAAGGTTCTCTGCATTTTTCCTGAATGGGATACCCAGAACCAGATGGACCCGGGGATTCAGAGGCGGGTAAAAATCAGGCTGTCAAGAGTGAAAAATGGGGGTAAACATCGGCCCAGTGGGCAGCCATATGTCGGGGGCGAGGAAACAGCAGCTTAAGGAGTGAGGAAAGTAAAGGTCAGAGTGGTGGTTTTAAACATGCTGCGTGGACAAAAACAGCCAAAAAAAGTTTGCTTTGACATTTTGTGAGTGGGGTTGAAGTTAATTGTACTTTCAAGCACACAGTAGAATAAATCATACCGATGAAGCTAAAAATTCACACTTTAATCACCTGCTCAGCCCTGACAAATTACTAAAATAAAAACAGATGATTTGTTTTGGGCTGTCTCAGAATAATGAAAAACAGCTAAATTCAAATGTCTTTTTTTCATCAATCATAAACATTGTGTTTGATTTGTAAAGTGTAGATTTACATCTCATTTGTTTGAAAACTGAAAATCTCTTCTCCAATCTGCTCAGTGTTTAGTCTACAGTAAACATTTAAAACAGCAAGATGAGATGCCCTGAACTGAACACATCTACACAACATGTTTATGGGCTTCTGCGTAGTTTACACCCGCTCTTTGTCTCATCCCTTCTTGCCCTGCCAGGAAATTCCACCTAATTAGGCAGAAGCTGGTTGCTCCAATTAAACTCTGGCATTCCCAGGCTCTGTCTTTGTATTGTGTTGGGCTTTTAGTTAAATTGCAGCTATGCTGATGATAAAAAATAAAATAAAATCCAACTCGAGTGTCCCTACAAGAGCTATACATCAATAGGTTTGACATGAACACCAAAAAGACTGAGAGGTGGAACACTAAAGGCTCAGAAACACTTCAGGTTTTGGAGTAATTGGTTCAAACTAAAACATGGAGAAGCGTCTGTGTTTGAACGCGTGTGGTAAAACAGAAAACATTCTGAACAATCTAAATTAAAAGCAAGATTTTTTTTTAAATCTAACCAGAAAACGAGTTAAATAATCTTTTTTCCCTACATGAGTGGAGATCCTGAGAAAAACAAAATGTACTTTGCATTTTTAAAGAGMCATTATAGGATGTTTAAGCTTTAAAATGTTTTTCACCAAAAACATAAAAGGCACCAAATTTTCTTTTAATAAAAATAGCATTTTTGTTTTGAGCTGTAAACTAGAATTTTGCTGTTTGACGCACAAGATTAATGTCATACAACATATAAAATGTACAACACGTGCCTGAAGCCTCACCTCTATAGTTGAAGAAAAGTGAMAAACTAATTAAAGGGAGAGGTTCAGCTTTTCAAAAATACATTCGACTTTTCATTACAGTCTATCTAAACGCCTTTAAATGTTCTCCTTTTGAACCTCCTACCATTTCAGACACTCCCACTTCAGCACGTCTTCACAACAATGCTTCGAGGGAGGTGTGTTCTGTGGGGCGGGATCTCGGCTGCAGACTGAGCTCCAGGGAGGAGCTTTGTGTAAATAGGCGGAGCTTTGTACCAGCAAGCATTTAGGCAGCTCCACATGGCTACAGGAGATTCAAGGATTTCTCAAACATCCATTAATGAGTCAAAGTAACACTTTGGTTGTGTTTTTGATGAGGGAATGAAGTTATAACATGATATAAAGGTCAAAAAAGTCCATTTTGCAGAACCCCCCCCCCCCAAACATATACCTGATGACAGGAGTAAAGAGGCTGTGAAGACGACAAAAGAGCCGAACACCCTGAGAAATAAAAAAAGGACATGTCTGTTATTTTGGGATTGAGTTTCTACAATATGGTTTCAGCTGAACTGATTTCCACTGCAGCACCTTTACCTTGGCTATGACATCATGCATGTCAGTTCTTGGATGATAGGTGCCATCATCAAAGCGGAAGCGGTACAACACAGGCTCAGGCTTGAACTGGTGTTTGTCTGTGACTGAAAGTAAAAAAAAAGAAAAATTGCAGATCAAAAACCAAAAAAATTGTTAAAAAGACTCTAGCGATGTGCCGGGGGGGGGGGGGTGCATTGATTGTCTGGCTTTAAAACTCCAAAGCATAAGAGGTTTAAAGCTATATTCAAGCCAAGCGGGGCTGCATAAAGAAACAAGCTTTTCACACACGAAGAAGAATCCAGCCTCGTGCAAAGCTGTCACAGATAACGCAGCAGCTCAGAGCTCCATGCCTCACTGGCTTTAGGCAGCTTTTACGTGGACCCTCCAGCGGTAATAGGTTGGCTCTGTATTCATGGCTGCAACCATGCAGGTTCCATTAAAGGTTCTTATGAAAAGATATTCCTCCGGTTTTCTCATGGGGATGTTTAAATGCACTAAGGGAGCTCAGAGGGGCCCGGAGTTATTCCTTTTCTGTCAGGAATGGCTTTAAAACCCAATTTCATTTTTTAAAGTGAGGAAGCAATATCGTGCCTCTGAGCGATTTAAGATTCTGCTTGGCTTCTGGTCCTACTTTTTGAACGACAACAACATGTAGGCAGAGTRCAACATTTGGTCTGAGGGCACAGTTAATCCTAAAACTACAAAACAGAAATTAAACAAGACAGAGATTTAGATGAGAAATGATTGAAATTTCTTACACTTCATCTAAAATTAGCATCAACTGACAGCTTGATCAGTTTTGATACGGATTTGTTTTTAGAACCATCACTGCAAAAGATGACAGATGGTTTGAAATAAAGGAGAACTGACCGTGGTGGATGATGCCGTTTTCCAGCAGAGCTTGACCCAGGTGGACGCCTTCCTCTTGGTTGCCTGTCTCACCGATTTCCATCAGCCAGGACACAAACTCACTGATAAAAGGGGAAGAAAGGGAAGATGTATCTCAATTAAGGGTGTTAGTTTGTGGAACGGTCTTGATAGTGAAACAAAAGTCAAAATCTTTTTATGTATTAAAAATAAACTTGAAAGTTACTATGATGAAGCATTAAAATATTGTCTAAAGTGTTGTTTTGTTGTAATGTTGTGTGTTGAGTAGCTTTCACCGTATACTGACGGTGAACTTTTGAGTTGTTGGTTGATTTTATTTTGCGAGTAGGGGCAGATTTAAGATCATACTTCTTTCTGCTCCTTTTCATGCATGACTTTTTTTAACTTAGTTTTSTTTTCCTTGACATTTTGATTTTGTATGCATCGATTTATTTTGTTTTTTGTTTCTTTTTTTATTATTTATTTTTATTGGATGACTTGTTTTTCTTTTCTATTGTTTTATTGGATTTTTTTTTTATTACTGGACTTTTTTATTATTGGATGACTTGTTTTGTATTCATGTTTCAATTCATGATTCAAACAAACAAACAAACAAACTCGCTGGTGAAAAGAGACAACACTACGCTGAAACTAGGAGCATCCATCTCCTGAATGAGCTGAACGTTTTGATACATTAACAGCTTAAATAGCACAAAGTCTGCAGAAGTAGTTAGAGTGCAAATGAATGAAAAAATAAAAAACAGGACAATATGGTGAAGCCACATTCATCCAATAATCACACATTTAATTAACCCASCAACACAACAAAAATATATCAAAATATCAGTGGAGAAAGTTTTGCAGTTAAACTTCGTAGCCTTTTAAATGAGTGGTTTCTTTATGCTCGTCTAACAAAACAACCAGCAAACTTTACTTCTTGTTTGTCTACTTTTTCTTAACTGTACAACACCATCAAATACAAATACTTTACTAGATCTTGGAAATTACTTGTTGGAAAACACAAGATGGAGAAAACAAACATGATTTGACATTTTGATTAAATGAGCTCTGTTTTGATTTCATCTCTTTGAGAAAAAGAGGGACTGACAGAGAGCATGGAGGCAAAACAAAGTGTGGGGGTTGGTCATGGAGAACTGGTGAACAAAGCGGCAGTCTATCTGGTTACATCCTTGAAATCCTTCCTCCCCATGAAAGCCAAACAAACACGGCGAGGAGCACCACTGGAATTCTCTGAAGCTCACTTCCAGGCCCGTGGTGGAGGCAGCTCAGTGTCAGAGTTCAGCTGAAAGGGACATTTCATCCAGTTTACAGAGCGAGAACAGACCGATCTGACCACCTCTATCATCCTTGACATCTTTGCTTAACTCAACAGAGGACACAGAAAAACACAACAGCATCAACGTTAATTTAGCAAACTGTGCRTCTGGATTACAATTTCCAAAAACAAACAGCTATGGAGTTTTCACAAGCTCAAACTAAACTTATTAGTTTTACAAATAAACTGCCGATCTTGTGTTGCCAGTCACCTGTTTTAACAGCATCAATCTGAGTTTGAGCGCATTATTAGCAGTAGCTTTATTTTTACAAAAGCATTCAGTGTCAGCCTTTTCTTCTCTCAGCAATAAAATAAAGACAATTACCAACAACGTCAACAGTTGCTCTAGGTTATATTATGTAACTACCTATAAAATTTAACAGAGCTATTTTATACTCTAATTAAAGCGCGGTCGTCAGCACTAAAGGTGACATTTTTAAGTCAGACCTTGGGGTTTTTTCACGAACAGCTGCCATGAGAAGCTGACATTACACCAAAAAAAGAACACTTTTGTTTCAGGTTTAAAATGAGATGAGATCTTCTGGTTAGGTAGCTGTCACGCTTTTTTATTTTTTTACATATCTTTCTGTTGCAGAAAATAACCCCCCAAATGTAGTGCATTTAAAGGGAAGGAGTTGGACACCCAGAAATGGCCCAAAGACCTAAATAGYAAAAGCAAGAAGAAAGGAAGGAGGCGTGTGGAGAGAACTAAGGCAGAGGGTTTCACAATAGAAGGAGTAGGCTGAGTTAAAGCCGTAGGCAATGTGGTTTTCATTAAAGATATACGATGCTGTTCCTCACTTAACAAATACGCCCACGTGTAATCAGCTCCAGAGTCATCAGGGCAGGGAAAGTACAAGGTAAAAGATTTTTTTTAATTTATTTTTCTTACCCACAGGTCATCCAGGTGTTGTACGTAAGGCAAAGGGAGTTTCTCTAAGCTGCTTTCTCACCACTCGATCCCTTCAAACTCATTCAGATGACCACACTGAAGTGTTTGATCCTTTCAGATTTTATAGCTGACAGACCCATTCCTTCTCTAGACCACAAGAGATCTTGTGTTGTCTGCGTGGACCAAAAGAAGAAAGCAACTCCCCTTTCCAAACCACCATGCCGTGTAACGTTGCCACAAATATGTCCAGTTAGGCTTTGGGGTGGTTTTTTTTTTTTTTTTTACTTTCTTCAGACTTCTAAAAATAATACGGGGTTCGACATGACCGCATAAACTTGAGTGATTTTCTATGTGATTAGAATAAATGAAAAAAGTGATTCAAATGAATATAAAATTGGTAAGCAGAAACATTTATTCAAGTTGAATTTAAGCCAAGTCATGAATATCAGTTTAGGTTTGGAGGAAAGCACCACTAAATGCAGTGTTTATAATGAAACACTGAGATGCACACAGAGGTATCCAACTCATAGCTGGTATTTGATAGCTGCTGCTTCTTCAGCCACCGCACCAATATCCCTTAAATAAGATTCATAAGCTAAATTTGGCAGGATTTGATTTTCCCATGATCTAGATTGCAGTTATAGTTTCTTCAACACACTGAGTCCTTCCCAGATGCTGCCTTTAGAAACCCTTGCCAATTTAATAACGACAGCTCAGAATTGGAAACCAATCTGGATTACTAAAGAGTTCTGTCCAACCTGCAGGCGACACTGTGCAACATATGTCAAACTCATGGCCCACGGGCCAAATGTGGCCCGCCACGGCATTTTACATGGCCCACGAGAGCTTCAAATAAGTATTAATGTCTTATATATAGCAATATACCGTTTTTTTGTAAACCAATGCTGCTGCTGTCACACCTGAATTTCCCCTCGGTGGGACAATAAAGGCTGTTTCTATTCTATATAAACGTATGCTGCTTTAAAGCCAGCACTGACTATACACTACATCTCCCATAATGCATGAAATGATGGCATCCCACAAATAGGTGGAGGTGCACCGGGTTCAAAAGGAGCCGTCAGCCTGCAAAATTCACCATGTTGAATCTCCATTTCATTTTATTTTCAATGGCTATTTTTGCTGTGGCCCAGTTGTACTGGGAAGGGGGAATTTCCCACTTACGAGTCAAAACTTTAAACTGGAACACCCCTCTAGTCGGAATTCTCTGTTGGAAAGTGAGAAAGTTCTGAATTCAAGATGGCGGCTACTCACCACAACTCAACTTTAGAGTAAAACTCTTACTTTTACATTTAATAGTGTTTCTGTATTATTTATTTCACATTTAGTCAGTCCTACATAGTACTTTTCAGTGTTTATAAGATGACGTGTTAAAATGCTGTTTCTATGCAGAAAATACCACGTACAACTCAATTATTGTTCGTTAGCGGTGCTCAGCCGTAGCAAGGAGACGAGGAACGTGACATTTCGTKTTTATTTCAAAGTTAAACAGGAAATGTCAAAGTTAATAAATGGCACTTTGAGGGCCACCATAATGCTCAGGTGGCRCTCAGTGAAAATGAGTTTGACACCCCTGCTCCACAAGGCCTCTGAATGGCAGTTTTATGTATATCAGATATAAAGATGTACAAATCTTTAAAGCACAGAACAGATTTAGAACTTGTTTATATTCAAATCTGTCTGATTTGCATTTCCTGGTAGTTGCCTTCGAATAATCTGCAACTGATTAGAACGTGTTTGTAAAATATGTTGAGTTGATGAAAAGCTACTGTATGCAAGTGTGGGCAGGGCCTTACATTCCCAGGAAGCATTTAGGGAAGGTGGTAAGCTTGCGTTTTCGGTCCTTGATGAGGTTTCCTTTGGTCATAAGGTTGTAGAGCTTCTCTCCTTTCTCTGAGACCATCACCCAGGTGTCCTGCTCCATGCCGAGCCTCAGGCCTGTGCAGAGGAGAAACGAGGGCTACATGAAAACTGCTTGTCAATACCATGGAGTTACTTTGTGCTTAATTCCTGAACAGGGAAAAGGTAATTTCCTCTAAATCTGCCAAACAGTTTGGGGTACTTTTCGGTGTTTATAACAGTAGCCTTAAATTAAAAGGTTCACATTACGAAACATTTATCATGTGTAAATATCAAAATTTGTAAAATAAAAAAAAATGTTTCAACATCTGAAATAGTTAAGCTTTCATCACAAACATCACTCAAATTGATGCCGATAAACCGAAGCAGTTCCTTACTTTTCCTCCGCTCCCTTTCTTTCATGATGGCCTCCAGCCACTCCTGTTTCTCCTCGGGGGTCTTGGCCATGCAGACGAACCACTTGTTCTTGGCCGTGTTGTGGATCTTCCAGCCATTGTTCACAATGTTTCCGCTGCTGTGATAGTCAGCTGTGAAGCAGGCAGTCACAATCTCAGCTGTAGAAGTTTTTAAGTCTTGGTTGTTTTTTTTTTATGCAACTATACTGCTCCACATGTGTGTTCACGCGTACGATGGGTAAAACGCAGAGAATTCATTTCCCCACCAGGGGATCAATTCAGTGTATAAAATAAAAATAAAATAAAAACAGAAACCTGCTTTTATTACCAGAAAAATCAGAAACAACATTCTGATGCTACTCAGGAATCTCTGAATTGACAAAATAGCTGCATTTAATTCATTAGCACTGATGTATGGAGTGCATAAAAAACTCTTTAGTTTAATTTCTCTAACTTCTAGACCTCATAGCCTTCTTATCGAGGGTTTCATTGATTATTGCTCCTCGTCTTTAATGAGATAAATGAGCCAACACAAGCAGAAGAAGAACTATCCATCAGCATTATTTGCTCAATTCCTACACTAGTCCCACGGAGCTGATAGCTACTTGTTTTTCACCATTTCGGCTTATGGTTTATATAAGTTAAAGTGAAAATGTGCATTTGAGTTTATACTGGTTTTTTTCGGTTATATAGCTTTTTTTACCCTGAATACAAGGTAGGGACAGGCAGTGTCTTGAATTCACTCAGTATCTCCACATTTTCCATGCCCACACTGAGGCATTTAATGTATTAAAGTTGAATTTAATGTTAAGAAAATAACTGAATTTGAAATATTCTAAAATAACATTTTTAAATGCCCAAGAGCTAACCCTTGGTTTTTCCCTTTGAGGCTGTAACAAAAAGCAAAACACCGTCTCCATCAATTATAATTATGTCTAAAAGCTTGTATAGCATCATGTCCTCTGTATGGATGTCCTCGAGGGTGTGTTTCAACCCCCGGCAGCAAGTGTGTTCCTGGGAAAAGTCGAGGCACTTTCATTACAGAGGAATTCCAGCTAAAATACTCCTGTCACCCTGGATTTCAGGCTGAGATCTTTGGTCTGTGGCGCAGAACACCCGTGAGTTTCTGCACCGTGTTTATCCTCCTGCTCGCTCCAGACCCAAACCCATCAATCCCTCAGCAGGAACAGAATTCTGCTGTCCCTTGAATGTCTGCTGGAAAGGAAAAAGATGGATTTCTACAAATATATATGATAATCGGTGGCTGCGAGAGGCCAAAAGACACAAACGCGCGGGTTCGCCATGAACCAGCAGCAGACCAGTCCCGAGAATACACCACCACAGGTGGTTAAATGTTAGTTATCACCTCCTGCTCAAAGTCAAAAGGCGGGCAACAGTGTCTGTGTGTATGTTCATGAGCCATTGGATGGGATTTTGACAAAACTCTCTAAATGGAATAATTGGATGTACATCTACAACAGATTATCTTTTGAGGTTAACCTAATTCAAGATGGAAAACACATCTGATCAAGCTTAGTCAACGCAAAAATTTCACTTAGATAATCAGCTAAAACTTCATGTATCAGAAGCTAAAAGTCGTTCACAACAGACTTTGAGCATGAGATCTCATAATATAATGTAAAATCATTAGGAATGCACAATATATCAACATTAACATTGGTATTGGTCGATATAGGTAATTTTTTAGAATATCAATATCTGTCCGATTAAGTAAAATTGGGCCAATATTAACGTCCGATGTTCATTTCACAATTGTTGCCTTTATGTTTCTGTTTCGGGAGAGGAAACGGTTGATCAAGCGGTATTTGTTTGATCATGATAGTGATAATGACGCTGTGAAGCCAGGAATAACTGAAGTAGACAGCCATGTCAGCGGTCTGGTCATTTTTTTACGGTATAGAAAAAAGACAAGCGTGCTTGTGCGTAAAAGTATTGGCTCACCTGCCTTGACTCCCATATGAGTTTAAGTGACATCCCACTCCTAATCCATAGGGTTCAATATGACGTTGGTCCACCTTTTGCAGCTATTTTGCTTCCACTCTTCTGGGAAGGCTGTTCAAAGGGTTTAGGATTGTTTACGGGGATTTTTGACCATTCTTCCAGAAGCACATTTGTGAGGTCACATACTGATGTCCTGGCTCTCATTCTCCACTCTAATTAATCTTAAAAGTGTTCTATCGGGTTGAGGTCAGAACTCTGTGCAGGCCAGTCAAGTTCATCCACAMCAGACTCTGCCATTAATGTCTTTATGGACCTTGCTTTGTGCACTGGTGCAGTCATTTGGATGGGTGAGCAAATAATGTTGGCAATATAGTGTATTTATAACTGTAAATATCATTTGTGTATTTGTGTAATATCATTAAATATCAGTTATCAGCCATAAYAGCATTATTAAAATTGGATATCGATATTGGCTCAAATTTTCATATTGATGCATCCCTAAAAATCATATAGAAAATTACTGTCAAAGTTTGACCAAAATGGTTTTAACTCTGAATAATAATAAATAATAAATAAATAATAATTTCTGAATAAGATGATCTCAAAGCTAAAATAAAAGGCAGTGGTTGACGAGTATTCTTCTAAGGAATACTAGAGTACTAAGGCCTCCACATGCTCCGTCCGAACTGCMAAAATCATCTCTCATTGTTGCAGTTTCATGACGAAAATCGCATCTTTCAGTTCGCATCCACATCTTTTCCCCCTAACAGTTTCCACCAACAACTATAGCATCACCYCGCCTATACAAAGTGAGGATGTGATGGCCTACCTGTGCCATCGTCCACATTTTCCACCTCCATCACCTCAGTGTTTATTCTTCCTCTGAACAGGTAGCGTGGACCCTCTGTGGATGCTTTGCTGTTTTTCAAACGCCTTTGACAAAAAAATGTAAAWTAAAAATGCATGAATACACAGACAAAGTTTATTCATTTAATGACAGAACACGAGTGAAAATAGTCGCATTCAGAGGTTTAAAAAGAACATCAAAGTGACGGAAGTTCTTGAAGTTTGAGTGTGAGCAACAAATTCGGTTGTCTATCCTCTTTGTCCTCCTTCACTCAGGGAATGTACCTCCCTTTGTTTGCACAACCCGATAACACCACGCTGGCTTCAAAACATAAAGGGAAATCAAAGCAGGTGGCAGCTGGTGATGGAGAAACAAAAGCTGCTCAAAACACGTAGATTAGACGAAGCTGCATTGTTAGAAGCTGTATCAGTGGCTCAGTAAGGAGCAGCAACAGCAGCATAAAAAATCACTTCACATAAAATGGGCTATTCATCAAGAGTTCTGCTTGCAGAAACACAATAATAGATGGTAATCAGTTTCCCTATTTAACGTGCACCGATCATAATTAATGTCATGTCATTAGGTAGAATGGTGCATGATGCAAAAGATAACTTGACAGCGAAAATACAATGTTAAGYGAGGTGTTTAATATCCCTACCTTGATTAAACACAAGTTAAAAATAAACAAACTGTAAATCAATTGCTTTTACATTTCTACAATCACAATTCTGAAAAGGTTGGGTTGTTGTCTAAAAGGTAAATAAAAAACAAATGCAACGATTGGCAAATCTTATGTCTATTTTTAATTACTAACGGAACATAGTAAACAAATAATTGTTTAAACTAAGAAAATGTGCCACTATTGGAAAAAAAACATATATTTTACTTTCAGGAAGTGAAATGTCTCAAAGAAAACGGCCCAGCTTCTTAACTTTTTTAGATTGGAGTTGCCTAATTAGCTGTTTTAGCTGCATTTTTTTCACCTCTTCACAAAAAGTTATAGGTTTTACGCACATATTAGGTGGTGGTAATCTTTAACCATCTCATGATGCCAACCTAATTTTTGGTGCCATGATTCGATTCGGGACTGGTTGAATCTCTCTTTCCTCCAGACTGAGAGCCGTTGGATTTGCTTTATCTATCTATCTATCTATCTATCTATCTATCTATCTATCTTGGGACATTTTAAATTGATTATGAAAATGTAAATCATGAATCGAATGTGAATTGATATTTTGGTGCACTCCTGCCCTTTACTGTAAAAAAATGAAACAAAAATACTTGATCCTTCTTCTGTATTTTTCCCTGCTGAAACAAAGACAAATGGGTAAAAACTAAAAAGTATTTTTTTAATTGTATTCTTTGAAACAACCCTTAATGTGAACTTAAGCTCCTTCCATCCCATGAGGTTTATTGTAAGTAATAGTGACAAAATCAAAGGATAGTATAAACACCTGTTTTTCTTCTTGCAGTACACCAGAAGCTTGTCAAACAAGAAGAAGCTCCTCTCTTGTATGTTTCCAGCTGAGATCTTTAACAGGACACCCTGCATCAGCATCTCGGTGCAGGTATCCGTGATGTTAGAACCCTGGTGGGGGAGTGGTGTTGACATGTGGGTCAAACAGGCAAGAGAAACAAAATAACATGCAAATAAGAACTACTTAAAACAAAGAACTGTGAAARCTTTTTGTCTTTATCTCTCAGAGTCCACATGCAGCACTGAGCAGATGCGGGTTGACAGAACCCAGCCCTTCCTGTTCCCTCTCTCAGGGGTCTGTGAAAACACTCCCCACTTCCTCAGAGCAGATTGCTGTGGGACTTTAAAACACGGGGTGGTTAATAGCTTCAATAGAACAACATCCCGTCCAGTCGGGCCATGTGTTGCGTCGTCGCGCCTGGTCACCATATTAGTCGGGTTCCTGCTGCAAAATGATAAAGTGTGCTGTCTTTTCCCTTAACTTAGACACCCTGGGAATTTATGCATCCTAAACCCCCCCCCCCAACCCCCACCCCATTTGATCAGGCTCTCAGAGTTAAAAATAACTCCCAAGCGAACAGAGGCAAAAAAAAAAGTGCAAAGCATTTCCTGCTGCAGGAGACATCAGCGGGGCCAAAACCTCCTCTCTCTCTCTTCACTCCATCTCTTCCTTTTGCTTCTTATGAACAATTCTCACTTTCTTCCTTTGCTCTTTTGGGTCTTGAGATTTCTCCCTGAACACTTTCTTTTGTTCTCCCCCCCACCTCTCCTGTGGCTCTTGACCAGATGTTAAACTAATTTGCAGCAAGTTAAAAGCAGCTACAACTCAGGAGGTTTTACAGATATCGAGCTAAAACTTGGTGTGTTAGTAGCTGAGGGTCATCCTTAAAACATACTCTGAGGGCAACAATTTTGTTTCAAGCYAAATTAACACGTGTCGTCAATCTTGTTTGTCTGAACAAATTCTAATGAAATCATTAGAAACTAATCATTGGATCTTTATCTACAAATCATTAATTTTGTAGTAAACCCAACACATGATGGCTACCACAACTAACTTAGCAAATGCACTAATGTCTATAACTCAGTCACTTTTATGAATACGGAGCTAAATTTGGTGCAGTGGTAGCTGAAAGTCCTCAACACATTCTTTGAGCAACAACAGATTGCACAACTTTGCATGAGATCACGCATACATGGAATCCAAGTTTGACCAAACAGCTTTAACTTCATCCCTTCTCAGCATCASATGATTTCAGTTTAAAACTCTGGCATTAACCTCTTAAGCCCCAAGGGGTTTTCTTGCGGATTTTGCTCAAAATACYATGCTGAAATGTAACTGAGTGTATCTCAGCATTTACAAACTCTACTTAAATAATCTTGGTATCAAAATAAAGCTAACACTTGGGAGATTTTATTAGAAGTGTAAGTATTAAAACAGCTGTTGTTGTTTTAAAGATATTGAGAATGGAACATTTTTTTCCCTCTCATCTGAATAATTCTTTCATTTGACAGTATATAACCCATTTTAAAACCATAATGAATCAGGCTAAAACTCTTGGAAACCATAAATCCACTTATGGGCATTATCTGTGCAAAGATTCATGCTGCTAAAATTAACTGGAGGAAAGTTACAGAGGTTTTAGTGAAGAAATAATTTTGCATTTTGACATTCTGCACAGGACAGACCATTTAGGTTCACTTTAATAAATGTTAAGAAATCTTAAGTTTTTAATTGCAAAAGTTATTTCTTTTTTCTTACCTGACTGAAAAGACTTGTTGAAGGTTTGCTCTTTTGAAAAATTATCCAAACATTTATTTGTCACTATATTATATAAAATAATGAGAATTTATATTTGACTTCAGTTGGATCATACTCACTCAAACTCAAGTAATGAACACACTTTACAACATATTTTGTATCTGCTTCGACTTACTTTAAATACAAATGTCAAAACTTTTGCCTTTACAGATTTGTTGCAATATATTTACAGATTTGCTACAATCCCATTTTGTCCAGTTTGTTTCCTTCTGATTCAACTGCCTGTCGTTTGAACATGTTTGGTATCAATAGAAAGCTAAGAGTCTTGGCTAAAAGCCATCCACCAAGCACAGTCAAGGGTCAACTTAAAAATCTTAAGTTAACAGAAGTTAAAAGATATAGAAAACAGGAAATTCTGGTTTGCCCAAGAGGTTAAAGGCGGCAGGAGTTCCTTCAAGGTTTGGCCTTTCATTTTAAAAGTCAAACAACTGCCAAACATAACTTGTGAACAAGATAGAAATACATAAATGGCAAATGCAGTGAATCCCATTAATCAAGGTAGAGGATGAAAGAATTCTTTCTACAAACGACTCCAAATCAAGCAAACCAAAAACTGAGCTAGACGTTCAAGACGACTAATTAGACAAGGTGAAAACCGGGTGGAAACTACTACCTCTAAGTCTAAAATTACCACATTACCATGGCGCGCTGTGACAAAACACAGACACTTGCAATGGTAACCAACTGGCAATCACTGTCCTAGTGAGTGCTGGCAGTCACTGCCACGGTGACCACAGCGGGCCATCGCCCTGCCTCTCCCACGCAGTGTATGTGAACCTGCCAGGAGGCCCTGAGGGTGGCCAGCAGTGGAGCAGGTCAGCACTAATGAGCAGCCATCCTGGACGGGGGAGCAGGAACGGAAAAAATCCCACAATTCCCCTGTCATTCCTCAAACACCCACACAGAAAAAACAAAACGCAGCCATCTTTCAGCTCCCCTCCTCTGTCTCTCTGCTGGTTCCTTCAACCCTCCTTCAGTTCCATCTCATTTGGAGCTGCAGAGCCTGGTGGAGGAGCAGACAAGAGGATCTAGCTCCAGAATGAGGTAATGTTCACAATTAATACAAGTGCAGAGGGGGAAACCGCAGAGGAGCAGCAGCCAAGACTGTGTTGAGTACAAGATGTCACCCCACCCAACGCCGAGCCTGTTTCTGATGGAACTATTCTTAGAGCTCGAGGTGTTTSTATGTAGTGCTGTACCAAACGATTATTTTCTAATCGATTAATCTAACGATTATATTTTCTATTAATCGATTATTCTAACAACAAATCTAAAAGTTATTCTGATGTGAGTGCACTGGAAATCTAAATGTTTTCATCAAATTAACAAGAACAGTTCTTTAATATTGTAATATTTTCTGTAATAGTTTTTTCATGGACACAAAATATGCACTCTAGAGTCAATTCTTTAACAAAAAAAGCTTAAAAGATTTAACATCAATATAAAATCTCAACCAAAGCATATAAAATTCAACTAAAAGAAATATAGTGCAAGATGTTAATAATCTAACAAATGAACTAAATCATGCAAAATTCAAGTCACTCTGGAAAAACTATAATAAACATATAATAAACATTTATTTATTATTTTTTATTTAACATATTTCTCAATACATAAAATTTAACAAATATCAAGACAACATCCARCTCTTTGTATTGTAACATCAGTTGTGTAACTTATTTCTTTAAGGTGAAAACTGTTGAAAACAACAAGACTGTTTTGTCTTTTTGCAAAAATTAATATCCAGCTCCACGTGTTTCTACTGATGTCATTTCCCCACTAGAAAATTGTGTGATGGAGGTCCATGGAAGGCAAATAAGTTTAAATCAAACAAAAGAGGATGCAGTTAAAATAAATAAAAAGGTATTTTTAAGCTACGTTTTGAACATCCAGAACACGTCCAACACTTGTTGGCTGCTTGTGCTCTTTAGGTCAGACGTGTGTCGGGAAGCTCCTCTGTTGTTTGAGACGCTGGGGGAACCGTCTGATGGAGGAACAGGGCTCGACCTAACACCGGTCTCTGTTTAATGGTGGATGAAATAAAGAAAGTGGCGGTACTTTATTTACTTTGAGCAAGCGAACGTCGTGCTCACAAGATAATTAATCCACCAGATAATTCAGAGGCAGTTTAAAATGTATGTGATCCATTGGTTAAAAATAAATGGGTCAGTTTTTCTCATACCTACACTTTTTCACTGTTCGACTTGATCAAGACTTTTCTAAGATTTTACATTACAAAATAGGTAAAAGTGTGTGACTTGTACTGTTTTGGTAACGGGTCAATATCGGTATTGGTCAATATCGGTATCGGTCAATATCCGTATCGGTCAATATCGGTATCGGACAATTCTCAAAGTTGTAATATCGGTATCGTATCGGAGGTGAAAAAGTGGTATCGGGACATCCCTAGAAACAATATTGAACCGTGACACTAAAGTATTGAACTGAACCGAATCGTGAATTTTCTGTATCGTTGCACCCCTCGACAAGGCTACAACCAATCATGTGATGGAAATGTTCCCTACGTCAGAACTTAAATGTCAACATAAATGTTTCCATCTCCCCTTTTGTGCATTAACTCTTTTTCAGAAAAAACAAGCGAGCATAAAAACATTTAAGCAAGATTGAGAAAGTTTTTTTTTTTGAATTTTGCTGTTTTCATCAAACCTTTCTAATGCGATACTTCCAAACGTGCATTAAAAACGTCGATGGAAATGGTTTGTGACTATCGTTTTAATATGGTAAAAYACGTAAAAACACACTAGCAAGACACTGTAAACATGCAACCAGATCATAAATAAAGCATAAAATTCAGTGTAGTGTGGTGTTAAGGCCCACCTCCCAGCCCTCGATATGCGACTGCCACTCCTCTAAAATTTCCAGTTTCTCCATCTGCCTTTTTGCTTCATTGATGCTAGAGCACACAGCCTTCATCAGCTGCAGAGACTCCTGGACCARGGTGTAGTCATTGTGCCTCTTAGGGGTCCTCTTCAACAGTTCCTACGTATTTATGTAAAGACAACATAGACGAATGCAGAAAATGCTTTTAAATGGTACCAGTCATCAGGAAAAAGATAATAATCGATGAAACATGAAAAACCATCATYAAAGTGACTCCTCACTGTATTACAAGTGCAGGTCTGGCAAAAAAGGAGGGAATCTCAAAGTTGAAACAGCGTGTCAGCTAACGGAAGACTGATATACACTTTTCTAGATATAYCTGAAGCCTCCAATTGCTCTCTGTGTCACTTAATGAGAGGAGGAGACTCCGGTAGCTGGAAACCTTCAACTGGCTGGGCATCAGATTACTCCCTTTATTATTATAACTTCTCTGCGCTACATGCTGGTGGCTGCGTAGGGAATGCCTGGGTGAATTAATAGATCATARCAAGATAAATGAGATGGGACGGCTACGGTCACACATATCAAACAAGCCTTTGAATGCGTATAGCGTTGCACTCAAGTTCCACTCTGGGAAAAAGGAAAGGTATGACTGAGCCTGGTCAAAAATGTCTGAAYRTACAGCCGGGCTCGAGAGRTGATGATGGGATATTTCTGCAGCGTGGTGGTGTTAATGAAGACGTGTCAGAATMTGAGGCCGACGTTTCATTAGAAAAGGGAGAGGCTGATGTGTAGYGGACGGGACAGCCCTAACTAATGACCGAGGAGAAGAAGGTGCCCTACAGCAGCGCCACGTGGGTGTGGCAGCCCTGCAAACACAGGGCTGGCACACACAGCATTCACACACTCACTTTGAGCAGCAACGGGTACTTGCATATCCTCTGAATAGGAGCCACCAAGTAACCTTCAAGTGGTACTTCTGTGTTTTTTCTGCCTCCCAACAACATGCAGTTCTGCAGGAAAGGAGAGGAAGAAAGGCCAAACGTTAGCTGAGCCGATGAGGTGRAAACGCTCTTTAACTCCAAAATGCAACATTTGCTGTAGCTCATCAAAAACAGTCAATTAAATGCATAACAAACATAAATGCTATAAAAGTCGACATGCTCAAACATTTGAGAAAAACATGTTCCACGAACATCTTACTGGTCTTTGGCCTTCAGTTGATCAAAGCAGGTTCAAAGGTCAAAAGTCAGCTGTTAATCATCATTTTCCCTTCCTCTCTCACCTGAAATTTAGATGAGGCGTTCCCAATTTACAATGTAAACACTAAACCAAACATTGTAGCAGTCAGAAGGCCAAAGGTTTTCTGGAGGTTAATGTGAGTCCCACCCCCACCCGGTCCCTACRGGGCACAGACCTGAGGTTTACTAACACATGGAGCAGGCTGGAAGGTAACCAGAGACCCAGATGGCCTCAATCCAAGGCTCAGCCACTAAACGGTCAACAATATAAATCAATTTCAGCTAGAAAACTTCACTTTTCTGTGAAAATGCARTGTGAAWACTGAGTGCTAGATGACSTAAATGAAGACTACTAAAGGTGCTGAAACCTCAGTCTGCTGAAGAAGACTAGGTAAAAGTAGYAAAAACACCAAGTAAAATCTATAAGTAACAAATCACTAGCTAAAGAAAAGTAGCAACGGTCAACTAAAAACTAAATACAGTAAAAAGCTAGCAAAAGAATGGAAAATGTTAGCTAAGTAACAAAATGTTAGCTAGCACAGGGGTTTGCAATCCACCCTTTGGTTACTCTACTGCGGCTCTTTGAAGAATTGACCAAAACTAACATTAGATTGTTGTATTTTTTATATATATATACCCACAACAGAAAAGGCTAGCTTTAGCTTTTCTGTGTTTGAAACTCCTAATACAACAAGTRATTAGATCATGCCAGTAGTTTGATACCATTTCAATAATCCAACGTCCAGTCTTTTTTCTCAAATCCATCAGAAATCTTTTGGGAATGACTGTAAGGCAAGTTGCTGAGAAGAAATATGTTGAAATCATTAGATAACAATAATAATTAAAATATACGTATACGGCATAATAAATTTCATGTAAACTATATGTATTTTTTGTTTACRTTAATATGGTCCTAAAATGTAAAAATAATAATAAATGTTCAAATTCTTTATATATTATTATTGTATAATGTCACCCAAACTGGCCAGAAAACCACCCTTTTAGGACTCAAAGTAGCCCACGGGTCACCAGTTGTAGTACATTTTGCAACTCCAGACATTTTGTTAGTGAGCCATGAGAAAATAATGGCTTTTTTTTTGTAAAGGCTGCAGATCACTGAGATAGAAGCTTAAAGTAGCAAAAGGTTTGCTAAAAATTAAAATAGCAGAAAGGAAGCCTATAATTAAAGGTTACAGAATGGAAGCTAAATATAGTAGAATGTTAGCTAAAAGCTAGAAGTAGCGTAAGTTTGTATTTCCAGGAGTAAAACATTTTTGTAAATATTGCTAAATATTTTGAAAAGTACAAATGTTATAAAACTAAAGTAGGAGAAAGATAGCCAAAATAATACAAGTAGCAGAATGTTAGCTAAAGGCTAAAAGCAGCATAAGAATGTATTTATAGGGGTAAATTATTTTTGTAAATATTATTAAACATTTTGAAATGTATAAAAGTTATACAACTCTAAAGTCAAAGAACACATTTCCTGACTGAGCTGAACATTTTGATATATGAACGGCAAAAATAGCCCAAGCAAAAAAGTACAGAACAATAAAATAAACAGGAAAACAACAGTGTGAATGCGGAATCAGCATGATCATTGTTTCGTCAGACCAACTGTAAATCAGACGCAGATATCTTTTTAGATGGTGGGGAAAGTCTCATCTCATGCGTTCAAACCAAAGCAGCTAATCAAGAACTGGGTTTGCAACTCTGCTGCAAATCTCAGTTTCKCTCTGAAGCGGCGTCTTCAAACATAAGCACTGCGATGTGGACAAACAAGGAAAAGGTTAGAAGCATGAACGAGTGGGAAGAGATAGTAAACAGTTTGCTCTCCAAAGGTTTTGAGGATATGAAGAAGAAAGAAGGTGACTGAGAGCCAGCAGGGAGGATGTATTCATCCTTTGTTCTAGCAGCACGACGCTCCCCGGTGGGAGTGAAAGTCTGCAGAAGTGGCGGGACAGAAAGAGGGGAGCACGCCCACACATCAGGCCAGACATGTCAAACACACTGGAACAGAGGGAACGAGCTTTCCACACCGACCACCACAGGTACCAGTTTGGATGAAACACGTCCATGTTTTGATTGTTTCCACTGTCTTTTCTCACCAGTAAGCACGTTCTGACACTCCTGATCTTATTGAGCTCCAGCAGCAGCCTCTGGGCCTTCTCATGATTCCCGCAGTACTCGTCATAAATCTGAAAACGGCTTCTCTGCAGGAGACGGAGAGAGAAAGTCAATGTGAGAAAAGCAGACAAAAATGGCAACAAAGCAAAGCAGAAAGGAATAAAAACATCCTGCAAACCAGAGGGAGATGACTGAACTCACATTTTAAAGGAAACTAATTCTGAATTTTACATTATTTTCCTTTTTCTTCTTCKTTGCAATTTTTTTGTCTCAAAAAAAAAGCAAAAACTAAAACCTTGTCAAAGGAACAAAGCCAACAGATTTGTTTTTTTCCCCCTCAGTAAATTACACAGTATGAAATTCTTCTCCTCGTTCATCTTGAAATGCATCATGTATTTTGTGGTGTGTGTGCCCCCTTCATCACATCCTCTCATCTGTCTTACAGATATACGACCAGCAAGCTTTCCACCAAAACTATTCATGTGGCATCCATGCTCCGTTGTCTTTGAGAGCCGGCAGTGAGACCAGACCACACAGCCTCTAAATCACTCGCACCAACAGACCAACAGAAATAGTTTGCAGTCCTCAGGCGAGCGGCTGCCCCTCAGGACAGAAGACAGGGTTAGCCAAGTATTTATTAAAAAAAATACAATGCTAGGATTAGTGAAACACAGTGCTAACCGTTTTAATTAATCTTTTCGAAAATGTAAACTTTATGAACCCTTAAAGCCGACTGTTTGCTGTCCTGGAAACAAGTGGAGTCATTAAGAACCAGAGTCCGGACCTGTTTCACAGACCTTGTTGTAAAGTCACTCAGTCATTCTTGGAACTTTCAAGTAAACACTTAAAAAGTGCAACAGCGCTTCAGAATAAAAGGAGACCTAACTCGTTTTATCTCTGCGCGCTCACGCCATCAGTTCTGACGGAGTTATAGTCGGGAGTTTTCCCTTCTCAGCTTTGAAGTGTTGCCCGTTCTCTAAATCAAATCGTCTCGTCRTAAACCTACTGCAGCCGCGCCATCTGTACCGCCAGATCATCTCCCTCCTTCAGCCGCGTCCTACGGGCCAGAGAGACACCGACGCTGCTGTGAGACCAACAGAAGGACGGTTAGATTTACTGCTCTTTAAAACCTATTACATGTCAGTGCGCCCCAAGAATCGGCTTTGAAGAAATGTGATATATGGAGGTGGGGATCGGTGAATCAGGAGGCACATTGAAGCGCGTTGCACATGTGCGCTGTCTCATCATGTGTTATCCAGAAAGATAAACTGACAACATGTGGAGTGTTGAGTCATTTTTAGGAGAGCACATTAAAGCAACAGTTCATTTTATGTAAAGTGGGATTCTGGGGAAAGGTTGCGAACAATTATTATCTGTTATCCGTCGTAGATWGCTCTGTGGACGACCTCGGTTTGGAGGAGCAGGGTTTGTTTTGGATTAGAATGAAAGCTGGTCTGAGCAGGGCCAAGGACAAAAAAATATTTCAACTTAAAACTTTAATTTAAAAGAAATCAGRTAAAATCTTGTGCAAACTTTTAAGCAGCTGTGAATTTAACATCGCACAATTATTAGAATAAAAAACAAAGCTCTGATGTTCATGTCAGGACTCACCTAGGCTGCACCAGAAGTGATACTGCTAGCCGCTGCTGTTATTTACAATAACCTCAGAATTCTATGTAAAATTTCTAAAATAGCATTCCTATTTAAAGTGGACTTTAAAGTGCCTGTAACATCAAATTCATAAAAATATATAAAACATTTTAATATCACTCACGAGTTGCAAACAAAATTTCACACTGTTGTGATCATTGATACGTATTACTGGATTGGACATGCGAGCACTTTGCTAGCAACATCAACGTGTGCACACTGAAGCTCTGTTATGCACTGAAGAGTTTCACAAATACTGGGTGCAGAAAATATAATGTCTTTATAAACTGGCCTGTCTGACAACTTGACGAGGGCTGATTTATTTTGTTTCTGATGCTTAATCATTATATTACTGTCTCTATCATTAGCGAGTCTACATCATAATTTCTGAATTATTAAGCGGTCTAACTAGTCAGTAATCCATTAAATACATATTTTACTTGTTTAATATCAGTAAATAATATATTTCACAACAAACAGTCAATTCTGAAAAAGGTTAAACATGAACACTGCAGCTTTTTAAATGTTAGCATGCAGGTTTTACAGTTAAAATTATTGATTTTGGTTAAATGTACCTATTATTTACCTGTGAAAACATAATCCTTTTTGCTCTTGTAACAATTTCTGCAGTTTATAGCAAAGTATTTGTGCCATTTGCACATTTATTAAACGTTGGTTTGCAATGCGCTATGTTCTGCTCATTGATTTCAATGGTTAGCGTTAGCATTAGCTCAATGCAAAAAACTCCACCTTGCAAAGCACGCCCAAGTTATGTGACGCCCAATCCAGTAATATTCTGTATATGAATATGTGGTTGAAATTATCAGTTGTTGAGCTATTCACATGTGAAATAACAGGAAGTGATGACAAAGAGGAATGTCTGCAGGTAAACAGAACATTACTGCGATGTCCAACAACACAGACTGTAGACAACAAGCTGATGTTTCCTTAAGTTATTTTAAGTCACTATCAGAGAGATGAAATAATATTGTTTCAATGAACAAAGACCAGAGAGTTCCTTTTCTTAATGAATTCCCCTTTGATGTCACTTCCTGTTTCACTCTGGCTGATCCGACCAAATGTAATAGATAATGTCAGTTGTGTGACAAAATCGGTAAAATCGTCGTGTGTTATGCCAAGTTTCTTAAATATAAAGATGTTTTCTTGGACTTTGAGGGATAAGCATTTGACAGGCACTTAAAGAGCTCACACAACTAATCGCATGTAAAAAGGCCCGTCGAGGTGGAGCTCAGCTCGCAAAACACGACGACACATCTACTCACAAAGTGCAAGAAGCAGCGTGCCACTTCATGGTGAGCGTGRGGCTCGGGCTGCAGCAGCTCCTCCACCATGGACAGGAAGTCTCTGTGAACGACCAGAATCTCCTCGATGTTGGAGAATAAAACCTGAGAGAAGAGGGGGGAAACACGGAGCTCAACTCAAATGACGTGTCTCACTTTTAACAATCTGTTTTCTCCTCGGTTCCAGTTCTTGAGTCACTTATTTGCTTTGTTTTGTGGTCCGTGACGCTAGACAGAGAAACGCCTGTGGAAACAGCATAAATATGGAGGTTTTCTTTACAAGAAGCCCCCTTCGCCAGAGGAGTCTTTGATAATTGACGACTTAAATTCGAGATATTTTAATGGAAAAGTTCAACCAAAAGAAWTTTTTAAGACGTGTTGGGGAAACACTTAGCCCTTGTGTTGGGCTGACTTCTGCCCTGCTGTTGCTTTTGTGCTGATAATAAAAGACAAATTTATGCTCAAAGAATCTTAAAATTGACGCAGGAAAAACTGAGGTCTTTCATTGGTGTTCCGGTGGTTAAAAGAATCCTGACCGATCCAAAGCAAACAGTAACAAATCACTTTGATCACTGTGTTTCTGCTCTGTAAGACTGGATGTCCCTCAGCTTYACCACAACATTTCAGCCATCAGAAAACCCCTCCACCCATTGCTATCTACAACCCCCACTCTCTGCACAGCATGTTCCCAAACAAAACATAACACGAGGGGACATATTCCAAAACACGGACGTGCAGTAAATATCCTCTGAATGCGTGTTTACCTCCAAAAGTAAGCAAGTCTCAGAGACAGGCTCCCACTGTGACGGAGCATCTTTTATTATCTTGCAGCCGGAATCATTTATAAATAGATTATATTTGCAGCTGTTTCCTGCATCACCCACCGCTTCTTTCCCTCCATTCAGAACGGCACTATTTTAAGTTAAAAAAGCACAAGGATTTATWCAGCCTACGACGTAATTTCCGAACTTTTCACTCAGGTTGCCTAACGAAAACATGGTTTGCGTGAAACATCAGGGRTAAAGTTTGCCTTGATTGCTGTTAATTCTACAGTAACATACCTGCCCGACTCCCGACTTACCTTCACGGTTTCCTCTGTGATGTTTTTGTCGATTTTGGTGGCTGCGTACTGGTTGAGGCGATGGAGAAACACCTGGAGCAGAGCAGAAAAGGAAAGCAGCAGTTAACCCGACTGGCTCCATGGTTAAATTACTCTTTGCCACCTGATCGCTTGGACCTTAAAAAAAAGGCCAAAACAAAGATTTGAGGCTTTGAGTGCAACTGCAACACTTTGCCGCCACAGAAGATTGCCCTCACAATGGACACCTGCTGGACTCGAAACACAATCTGTGCACTGTATGAAAACAAAACTGAAACTGGAGTGAATTGTATTTCAAAGCGACTAAAGAGGCCATTAATATTTGAACTGAGGCGGATGAAAAGTGCTTTCTTCTGTCTCTAAGGACTCCGGTTCCCAGACTGCTTCACTGCACAAGTCCAGCACAAGCCAATTATAGCTTCAGAGCAGCAAATTAGGAAGGTGCAGATTAAATTATTCTTAAAACGGGACTAAAAAGAAGTGACTTATTTCCTGAAGTCTGTCTGTCAGAGTGTTTATAAACCAAATGGACCACAGGTAATCCACACAAGTGTTTATGTGAGGAAAAGCTTGGAGTGCCACCGGCTGCGTCACAGTTTACTTCTGACTGAGGCCTGAACCTCTGAGGAGGCTGGGATGAACTTCAACRCAAATCAGCTCTTTGACTAAGTTTACACAAAAACATTAAACCACAAACTGTAGTTCACAAACTACATTTTAAAACGGGTGGAACGACAGGTTGCTTGTTGACATGTTTCTCATTTGAACAAGAAGCATCAGTTTTCAAATATATATAT